TTCAGTTCTAGTTTAAACAGTATATGTAGCCAATTACCTTATTAGTTGAATAAAGATGCTGAGAGGTTTACTAATTCAAGAGTACAGTAGGTATAATGAGCTTAAAATGATTTAGGCTGCATTAAAGAAGTTGTTATTGATGAAGGTTTTGGAAGACTTAATAAGTGTTGCAAGAAAAAGTTCATGGAGTAACATTTTTGTATGGTACTTTGTCATTACAAACTAGTCTTTAATATTTGTGCTATTTGTATGGATTATTTGGATTAACTGCAGTACTGAATCCATGAATGATCACTGGATGAAGACGTCTTCATCCAGTGATCATTCATGGATTCAGTACTGCAGTTGTCTTATATTAGTTATAATTCCTTGCTATTTTCTGGTGCTGAAAATAAGTTTTCCTTTTGTAAGATAAAATAATTGTTTTATTGATATTTAAGAGAACAGATAGGTGTATTCATTTATTAACTACTAAAATTCCAAATCCTTTAGGTCAGTACAGTATTAGCTAATTTGCATAACCTTGAAATTAAATGGCATGCTCACCTTTGCAAAGAATATCCAGAAGAGTTTCAATCAGATATTAATGGCTGCAGTACAACATGTGAAGCTAAATAAAAGGGACTAAATATGCATAGTTTAACTACAGTGATCAAGAGTTGACTCTAGCTGGCCATTGAAGGCATCAATCACTACCACTTTTTCTCTGAACATTCATGATTTTATCTTTTAGTTTGTGTATTTCTCTCTTAGTTTTGACGTGTTGCTTAGTTGTTGTATTTAGGGAATCAATTGGCAGGAGAGACAAAACGTGTAAATATTCATTACTTTATCAAACTTTTGTCCGTATTACATAAACCAAATAAATAGTTTCATTAAATGTCTCACTGCATGTCAAGATGCAATACTACGGTCCCTAAGGCACTGAATGATTCCTGAGAAAACTTTATACAAGAAGCTTTGCCAGACCTCACAGACTGGACCACATACTCCTTGTTCTATGAAGTATGACCATGTGAATTATGTACATTGATTGGTAGCTTTATATAAATTTTATTGTTGGGGTAATTAGGGAGGAATAGGAAAATCTGTGGCATATGCTTTGTACTATACCCTCGGCTGTAAAATATACTAGAAATAAAAATGTTCTAGTACCTATGTTTTTATTTAAAGCAAACAGTCTGCACGTGTTGCATTCCGAGTATTGTAGAAAGCTAAGTACCTCCCTGTATTAGGCATGTAAACACTTTCATTGAAATTAACCTTTGATATCTGTATATGACCTTGGTCTTTAAGTTTGAGAAGAGATTATTATGTATGGAAAATATATTTAGATATCCACAGACATACTTTGAAAAAATATTCATACAATAGCCCAACTTACTCAGATGTAATCTGAAAGGTCTGCTAATCTTATTTAGCAAATGTAATTTGACACTAAGGATCTTAGTTAAATAATATATTAAAAATAAAACTGTACATAATTACTGGCTATCACAATTTACAATGTCTAAAAAATTGCTCACTTTCCAAATTTACCTCACACAACTCTGCAGTTATGACAAAAATCACAGAAGTCATAGCAGTAAATTTATAACACAGATTTTTGTTTGATGAAATGGAATAACAGGCATTATACAGTACAGTATATTACAGCTGGAAGTGAATATTAAAATTTGTAACCAGTATGAACAGAAAAATCAAGTGAAATTTGGTCTTTAGCATAAAAGGAAATTGTTTGACTAAACATCCTAAAATTATCAAGACAATTGCTTCAGGAGAAAATACAGTACTTAAATATTGCAGTGAAATATTAGATCTTTCATGGTGCTATTTGTTTTAATGATTAGTTGGATTTGGGTGTGGTCTAAATTACCTCCTTTTGGTGGATGTCTCGGCCATTCTGGTCCTGAAACAAGATTTGGAGTAAATGTGGTACATTTTCAATTTTTTGGGATTGAATAACTTTTCTCTGCCTGACCTTTACATGACTTTGCCCCAAGTTTTCCTTCTACTACAGGCAGGAGCTTGGATGGTGCCCCCCCTGGATCTCAAGGATGCTTCTTTGTAGCACGTCCCTATACATCACAGGTTCAAGGACCATATAGGTTTTGTTGTGTCATAAGACTTACTACTTCAGGGTTCTTCCATTCAGCTTGAATTTGGTTTCCCCATGTTTTTTTTTACCAGGTTAGTGTAGGTTTGACTACTGGCTAGAGTGGGCCCCCCCAATCAGTCAGCGTGTTGGCCTGGGATATAGTTCTTTCATAGCTTGCCAGGTTCAGGTTCTTGGTGAACTTGCAGAAGTCCCACTTGACTTCCCAGGTTCAGATTTGGTTGGGACTTGTGAGTTGGTCAAGCAGTTGTGCAGGAGTGTGAACTTTACCTGTATGATTGTTTTTTCCCCATTGGGTAGCATTTGGCTCTTGGCATTGTACTAGTTTCTTCAGTTCTGCTCATTTTGCTGCTCCCAAGACTAGCGGGTTCGGGCTCTACTGACCCTTCACCGGCTTCCCTTTTGGGCTTTAGTTATGTGGCGCCATCCTTTCCCATCACTTGATGTGTTTACAGATGGCTAAGCTCTGTGCCGAGGCTTCGTAACCGATGTTCACTAGGCCTTCTAGGGTCAGTGGTCGGGTTCATTCCTTCAAACGCAGAGAATGGTGGACAAGTTTCCAGCTGTGTGGCATTTTCTATAGAGTATTTGGCCTCCTCTGGGTATTGTGCTCCATCTCTGCTCTGTTAGCTCCCCAGTACTTCATTACCTGAACCTGGGGGGGGGGGTTGCTTTGGTCCCTTGCCTTGTGGAGCTGGATGCTTCGAGTGGTTCAGGTTCTGGTTCTCCACGCAATTCACATACTGTACAGGGTTATCTTGAGATGTTTTCGGGGCTTAGTGTCCCTGCGGCCCGGTCTTTTACCAGGCCTCCTTTTTGTTACACACCCCCAGGAAGCAGCGCAACTGTCTAACTCCCAGGTACTTATTTACCGCTAGGTAACAGTAGTAAGTGTATCCAACATTCTCACAGATGGGTTTTATTTCCACCCCAATTCCACAGAAGGACTGAGCTACACAAATACAGTACCAGTTCCAAAGGGGGGAGGGGGCCAAAACAAACCCCCACCCTCCCTACAGAACAGGGAACAAGTCACCAGGGAGCAATTAGAATGGAGTCAAGAGGACAGAACCCAGAGGAAACAGAATCCTCTGAAGGGCTTAACACACCGACACTATAGTAAGCTGAGTAGTTAACAGATGGAATGCATTAGAAAATGATGTGGTGGAGGCAGACGCTATACACAGTTTCAAATGTAGATATGTTAGAGCCTAATAGGCTCAGGAATCTGTACACTGGTTGATTGACAATTGTGAGGTGGGACCAAAGAGCCGAAGCTCAAAACAACCTGAACCAAAATGGAAGATAACCTACAAAGAGAAAGGAACTGGCGGAAAGACTGCCAAGAGACTTCATACTGTTGCCAAGAAGAAGACCGCAGGTGGGAGACCATCAAAGAAGCCACCTAATCACCATAGAAATGGCATTACACCCGTGTCAGAAAGACCAGATGGGAAGTACGGAGTAGTAAATTGAACCAGCAAGGCACCTCACTGGACCGATCTGCTGGTAGAGGCAGAGCTGCGGACAGATGCTCGGATTCGGACACTGAACAAGCACCCTCCTCTGATAGGATCCTAAGTGAGCTAGGACCTGGAGTAACAGCCAAACTGGGGAAAAGAGGTGCAGGAGCCCCCACTGTGACCAGTCCTGCTGAAAAGTATCCACAACAACGGGCTCACAATCGGGGAACAGCACCATGTATAGAAAACGCCAAGACCACACTGACGCAAAGAGGTTCACCTCTGGGCAGCCGTACATCTGGCAAAGCCAACTGAAGGACTTGGCATCCACCGTCCACTCCGTGGAAAGCAGAAGGAACCGGGACAAGCCATCTGCCAGGACATTGGATATGCCTCGGCCGTGAACTGCATGGAGAGCTAAACCCCCGAGAATTCAGCAGAAGAGCTACCCGAAGCAACCAGCCTCAAAGAGCCAAGGATCAGAGGGAAGCCCCCTGCGGTTGAGACAGTGCACCATGGGAGAACAGTTCGAATGAAGCCAGATCAAAAGAGCCCCGAGGAAGCCAAATCCAGCGCAATACATGCCACACAGCCGTAAATTTCAAAACTGTGCTGTGAGCCCAACAAAAGGACAGACCCCAATGCCCCTGGCCGGACTGTTGAGCACTGGTCACAAAACCCCAACTCAGAGATGAGGCGTCAGTGAGTTGGGGGTATGAGATAACACTCGCTTCCCCTTCCCCTCGCATATCGAGCGAGGGAAGGGGAAGGTGCCATGGCACCGAACCCCGAAAAACCCAAAGAGGAAGCTGGCGACACAGCAACTGGCTCAAGGACACTGGGGTATGAACCCAAAGATCGCGAGTGTGGTGAATGAGGCGGCTTCAAAGATACCAAAACAGCCTTCGAAGTCAAATCCCGCCCAACGGAAATACAAGAAAAGCAAAATTCAGGCTTCAGCACAGTTGATCGAGCTGCCTTTTTAACATCACTCAGCTTATGTCTTTCTGCTTTCATATTGGCATCTTGAATAATATCTAGGAACTTGAATATGTTCTGCCATAGTGCTATACAGTACTGTACTGTCTTCATGGCAAAGCACTTTCTTTAGACACTTAAGTTTGTCCACTACTTTCACAGTTTAATGAGAATTGATCTCAGGCCAATCTGGTACATTTGGTCACATCACGTGTGTGTATACTTGGAGCATACCTGGAGAGGTTCTAGGAGTTGTTCTCCCCGAGCCCGGCCTGAGGCCAGGCTCGACTAAGAGGTTATTTGCCATACCTGACTGATTCAGTCAATTACCTCAGATCACACTTGATCAGGTTTAGAAAGCAATCATACAAATCCTGTGAATGTTAAGATATGGTATGCAAATTACACCTCGCCCAAAAGAGGGTGGCACATGGATACACATCTAGGACAGAGCATATTTATTGAGAAACTTGAAGAAATATACCAAAATCTTGTTTGGGATATATCACAGAAGTATGAGATCACAAGTATCTGGCAAGAGTGAAAGAACCACTGTTACAATTTTGTTTAAACTATAATTGTTAACTGGCTCTTAATAATTGCTTGTAAACATTCCTTTTATCTAACATCAGTAATGAAAATGAAATAGATAACACTCACTAATAAAGTGGCATATACAGTGATGATACTAACATCCCAGGGATATGCGACTTCTAATGTATTTATGCTTTTATTTATAAGTCCAGTGGAAATATTAGACAAAAGAAAGAAGAGCAAAGGTTTGTGGTTGATGGCTTGGAAGGCAACAGGCACTGGTGACATCCTGGGGAGCAGCTTTGAGAGACTTTCCTCAATAAGGGAGAATTGTGTAAGCACAATCAGTGTGAAAAACATCTGGAAGGTAAATAAATATTGGTTTTCATTTATACATAGACAAACATGTGATAATGACCAGATCACACACTAGAATGTGAAGGGACGACGACGTTTCGAGCAATCGACTTAAGAATGGTCCAGAACGGACTGAAACGTCGTCGTCCCTTCACATTCTAGTGTGGGGTCTGGTCATCATATTTTAGCCACGTTATTGTGACTCATCGCCTGCAAACACGTGATAACTACATGTACTGTAGATGGTATTACACCAGTAAAAGATATGAGATTTTAACCAATTCTGAATGATTACAAGTTCATTATAGCACAGAAATCTGAATAACAATGACCACATTATAGTACTTACAACTAAGGATACAAAAGTGGGATTACCCAATCTCCTGGATGGCAAGTCCACATAGAAGTGTAATGATGCTAAGCAGACTCCACTACACAACGTCATGATGGTGAGTGAATACGACAGCTTTGTGTGTACGCTTCTGTAACGATACAAAAAAGACAGCATCTATGACAGAGTAAAGTCATGATACAAAAATTTTGATTTTAAAGATATCAAAGTGGTCCTTGGATCAGAAGCTAGGCATCCTGATTGCATAGATGAACTAACACACTTGGATAAAGTTGTAAAATCTTAACTGAAAAATGGTCTCTAAGTGCAATCAGGATGTATGTAAGGTCATTCTGGGTTGTAGGGCCTCTGGTACAGTGGTACTGCCACCTGGTGAGGGTGAAGAGAAGCAGGTATTTGTTGCTATTGGTAATTAGGATAGAACAGTGACTCCCAACCAAGGCTCTGAGAATTTCCAAAAGCTTGCCAATCACTTCCCTTATTTGTTGTCGAAAGAGTACGATTTGGTTAGGAACCCTTTAGCAGAGTATCCAAGAAGTATCCTTTCACTTGGTGCCTTTCATAGGTACCAGGAATTAGGAAATTGTGGATTGAATACTGGGGAAAGTCAGTAATTGGTAAGGGGGGAATAAGCTCGATAACCCTAAATGCAGGCTTCCCATCCCAAACAGGGCAAAACCATATGTAGAAATACTGGTACAGTAATTTGATTTGCAATCCACCCCATATGATCTGAATTAGTGAGCTGAGACTGCATCCATTATTGTGGTTGAATTGACAATGACTTTAACCAAGCATTTTATATGGTTCTGCAGGCATGCATAGCCCTTCTGGCATTAGTGTCAGGTGTAGCTTAGCTGATTGTCCCACGATCCTAAGATTGTACAGGTCGTCAATACACAATACCTACATGAACAGTAGAATAACAAAGCTCAGAAAACAATATGTCTAGCATTTATGCATACATTTGTAATTAATATGTTTGTGATAGTGTGCTTCACCAGTGGTACATTGCAGATTTCTCATGTAGGCATTAGTGTCCACCTGTGGTACATGCACTGCTTCCAATGCAGCTCAGAGATCTATGTTTTTCCAGGATTCAATAAAATGAAAACCTATTCCACATAAATCATCCCAATGTTGATAAATGTTGTGAACATCTTAATGTAAGTTAAAAGCTCTACAGAAGAGCTCTGCATGAAGCACCTTAACAAAAAAAATGGTTACACATTAATATGGTATCAAAAGCCATAGTTGTAACAAAATAGATTGTAATACCTGCTGAAAAGAAATGCTCCAAGAGCAGCACCATGAAAGTACAGAGCCACGTAACCAGGCATAGAGACCAGCCATTCCCTATTGGCAAGTATGAGTGTATCCCGTCCAGCGTCACTCAGTGTCCACGGACCACCATTACCAATTGTGAGATACAAGTGATGGCAAAAGCTGAGGAATAATGCAACCAAGAAACTTCCTAGAGACTTAAGATGCCAAACCCACCACGAGCACGTAACCTGAAAAAACAAAAACATAAATGATCATAAAAAGAATACGCCGAGCATTTATTCATTTACTGTATTAACACAGATAGGTCAGAAGTACTGTACTTTTCCTAACATAGTTATAGACAAGAACAGCAGAAAAGATTAGCAAGTTTAGAATATAATGAGGCAACTAGCAAAGTCCACTTCTCAATCAGGAGAATGAATTACTAGATGTAGCTAGTTGAATCTGTCATGGAAGACAGTTATTTCTTCAACAAGAGCTTAAAATGATGCATTTTAAAACCACCAGAGATTTTTAAAATAGGAATTGTATAAAATTTAAGTGTGTGGCATGCTCATTGATGATTCTACAAAAGTCCATCTCTGAAGCTGAAAGGCAGTCAGGATAAGGTAACAGAGGTCAAATCTATAATTACAAACTTTATGCATGACCTTATGAATAAAGTATAAAATCATCTTGTACTAATTACAGTATAATGATTTTGTATACTATATATCAAATATTCATACAAGTATTTACCTTGATGAATGCTAGAGTAAAGAAGAAGTTTCCGTGTTGGCCATACTCAGTCACATGGTGCTGGTAGTCCGAAGCTCGTACCAGCACCAGCCTCAACACGCCCAGCACACTCAAGATAACTCCGTCTCGTGCAATAAACCTTGGTCATTTTATGTTAAAATAAATTGGGCATAAACATATTACTAATTAACTTGTATATTTGTCTACATAGAAAGCTTACTTTATGGCTAAATATGATGTGCAATGTATGAATTTCCTAAAAGATGCATATAAATCAACTTATGTTAAAAGAAACAAGTCAAATCATATTTTTTTGCACTGTGTTAATGCTGCATACATCAACCCATGTCAAAATGGAATTTGAACATTTCACACATATATGTTTTAGGAGCACATTAACGTTGACCAGACCACACACTAGAAGGTGAAGGAACGACGACGTTTCGGTCCATCCTGGACCATTCTCAAGTTGATGAGACTTGAGAATGGTCCAGGACGGACCGAAACGTCGTCGTCCCTTCACCTTCTAGTGTGTGGTCTGGTCAACATTCTTCAGCCACGTTATTGTGACTCATCGCCAGCACATTAACATTACTGAGTGTATTCAACTAATATCGCTGGTGAAAAAAATACATTTACGTTAGTCTTGTTGTCCCAAAATCCTGGTTGTTTCAACAACAGCTGCAATTCGATAGATCTTAAAGCTCACCTGTATGATGCTCGCTTCTTCCCTTCAACAATGCCATTCATAACAACAAATCCAGCAGCACCCACATCCATGAGGCTGTAGCCATATTCTTCAGTCTTGGCAAATCTAATAGTGAAAATTATATCACAAAACTTTCAATTGCCAATTTTAAAAACATGTCATATCAAACATATTTTGCAAATAGTACAGCTGAACAATAAACAATTGAAAAGGTTCTGTGATATATATTACCTGTTCCATAAAAGGTAAATTAATAAATTAATTTTAGAGAAAGATTCAAGAGACCTTCAAATAATTTTTTGCATATACAGTAGCAGATGGTGATAATGCACTGACTAAACCAATTAACCCGACAGTTATAATACATACCGGCGTGGGAAGGAGTGAAAGTCAACACCAAGGATGGCAACTGATGTAGCCAGACTTAAGAGAGCTCTCAATGATGTCACACACCCAAGGTGCTGAAACACATCACAGCTAATATAACAAATATTCACATCTGTCAGGAACTATACATTATGAACCCTATGTCATGAGCCTTCTGTCATGAACTAAAGTATATTAGCCAGCTTTTTGCAATGCTAAAGAAATAAACTGAAAATATGTTGATTAAATAAACCTTTTTAAGGATGGTTCTCCAGTTCCCAAGACTAAGCATGTGTCTACATATAAACAATGCTGTGCTAAATCCTGCCCATTTTGTTATGTAAACAACGCTAAAGAAAATGTCACACACAGAGTACAAACAGCCCTTAACAACTTCCTCTTGTACTCTGTTCCAGGTGTTTTACGACTCTGGACAAGTTCCTTCCAACATCCTAACACATGTGACTCTTGTTTCCATTTATGTTATGTGAATATTGCTTCTCTATCTACATGCAGGCGATGAGTCACAATAACGTGGCTGAAGTATGTTGACCAGACCACACACTAGAAAGTGAAGGGACGACGACGGTTTGGTCCGTCCTGGACCATTCTCAAGTCGATTGTGACACAATCGACTTGAGAATGGTCCAGGACGGACCGAAACGTCGTCGTCCCTTCACTTTCTAGTGTGTGGTCTGGTAAACAAGCTTCTCTATCTACTTGGCCACTTTCTTGAGTAGTTTGACTCAAATTATGCAAGTAAATTATACAGGCTTAACAATGCAATATCATTAATGCAAATACTGTACCTATGAAAATTTCAAATACAAGTTAGATACACATGAATTGACAACAGGTGTCAGCAGAGCCTACCATACTCGAGCAAATAGGCCTATGACAGTGTTCTTTTGATCTTGTGTAAACTTAACAGCAAAAAACAAACATGACAAAGCCACAAGGTATCCTTACCAGGAATATGGTACCCAGCAAATGAAAACTTAGGTTTAAAGTGTTCCCTCAAGTTAGCATGTAAATAACTAAATACTGCACGGTATATTGTGGTCTGCAACTCAAATTTGATAAAACACTGAGGGACAACTTATGAAAGCTGAATTTTCTCCCCAATTGGAAATAGTTAACAATTTCTTTCCATATACTTTAAAAAATACTTGCAGTTATCAGGTTTACAATGGTATGCTCCACTGGTGGTGGAGAATGTGAATTCATAATGAAACTTTGTGTCCACTGGTGGTACACAAATGTACTGTTTATAATACATTTCAAACAACAATGTTTATTCCTACAGCCATAGTAGCAATATTGAACCCTCAAAAATACACATATTTGAGCTGCATTAGAAATACAATAGTATACTTGAGTGTAGCACCAGTTGACACGAATGCCTGCATGAAAAAACTGCAATGTATCACCAGTGGGGCATGCTGTCGAGTACATGTTAAGTAAATACTCTTATTAAATAAAACATCCATACAATATACACCTTTTTTGTTTTGCTGGAACTACTATAATCTGCTGTGTTTGTGGGTGTGGCAAAGCTCAGAGTCAGGCCTGCGAGAATGACGAGCAGTGTGCACAGTTCTAGGGTGTAGTCTGCCAAAACGGTGAAGCTCAGAGTAAGGGGAATCACAAGGAAACAACACTCCAGAAGAAACCAAAACCTGCAGTGAAAATGTAATATAAGTTTGGGATTTGCATGCAAAACCTTTTTGCTATACTGTATATAAAAATGTAACTCATTGATATTTTCTTCACATGGTTTATTAACAAAAATCTGCATATCATGAATCTTTCTGAACGACTGCATTTTCCATGTTGATTAATTTCTTGTTTAGGGCTTCTGTCCCTCTAACTAGTTTTCCTGCATCTTGGTTTAATTGGAAAAGGATTTCTCCAAATGTCATATGTTCTAGGTTGACTAAAAAACAAAAACTAACTGTATAATGTAATATACTTATAATTTACACAATGTTTAATGCCTACAAGGTTCATTCTCAAGTGAGAAATGACAAGATGTGAGGAAACATTTAATTTATAATTTAGGGAAGTCAGTTGCATACAAAATTCTATATTTCCATACAAACGCAGAAATTACAAAACCAATGACTAATATATTTAAATTAGTAATTGCATTCAAAACTAAAAATTTACATACTGTATGGAATGACCATACATACGTACAGACTTATAATGTAAGTTTCTCATCCAATAATACACAGTTTCTTTATGCTGAATTCAGTCATTGCTTTAAATGTTCCTAAAAAATTAAGTATTACAGGAACTACAATTGTTCATCTTACCATCCTACTCTTCCTTTGACAATTAAAACAGCAAGGACAGAAGCTGGTATCCCGGGAAACACAGCCAAGATCAGGTCATGGGCAGACGACCCATTGTGGCCACTCACAAAAGCCTCGTGAGCTTCACGCATCAAAGTTGACGAACTCATTGATACCTGCATAAAAATAACAGATTTATAAGGGGTCTTAAAAAATGAAGGGTTCCATTATTAAAACTAAACTAAACAGTAGAGTGAGGGGTCACCTTAAATATGCTACAATTAATGTGGCAATACTATATACTGTAGTATTATGCTTTAAAAAGTTTTCAGTACAATATAATGTATATAGTTTATCCTCTATCACAGTACTGTATTGTGTGTACAGTACTGTATAGATTATATCAATGTAATCCAATATGCAAAGTAAAATACTTTTATATTTTCTTTCATAGTATAATAACACATGTTCCGACTCATTAATTTTTCTTTACTTCCTATGAAATGGAATATGAACAGGATCACCGAGCTAGATGCCCACCATATCCCGAGAGAACACTGGGAGCCCACCAAGACTCACCGACCCCAGGATCCTCTCACTAAGACAGTTTATGATCCAACTAGAAAATAGAAAACTTTCAACTTTCCTGTTCCAAAGACAGCAAGTGACTCAGGTATGTGATCAATCTGGGCAGCTGAAGAGGCATGCTTAACAGCAGTATTGACTAAACGGTCAAAATTGTGACATTATCTGGTGACACCCAGACAGAGCAAGTGTCAAGAGGTGGCCTTATGAGTAGTGGTGGTACGTCATCATTACTTTTTAAACCTTTAAGAGCAGTTACCATCATATGCTGATTTGCAGGGTAATGCAGTTATCATACATTGATGTAAACTATTATTGTCTAAGTTTTACACAATGCTAATGTGGATATAATAGCTCAATAGGGGTCTAGTAGAGTTGATCTCTGCTGATGAAAAAATCCTGCAGTGATTTCATGATTATTTTACTTTGCAAATGCAGTTACAGTATTTATGGAAATGTTTCCATGTCAGTGCTGTAATCATCATGGTATAAAATTCTATTATAATTATACTGTATAAGTATACCAATTATGTTCATATGGTTTTCACAGCTCTATACAACATTTTATTCCATTCTATACGTATACATTTATCAATTCATAAATTTAGTGTAAAAAATATCATCTATACATCAAAGGTCATTAAGTGTCTGGCTGAGGACAGTGTACTTACCTAGTTGTGCTTGTAGGGGTTGAGCTCTGGTTCTTTGGTCCCGCCTCTCAACTGTCAATCAACTGGTAACTGTGTGTGTGTGTGTGTGTGTTGCTGACGGCAAGATCTGGGGATGACAAATGGGTGGGGTGAGCCTCACACACACGGAACATGTTCATTTCTCAAAACGAGCCACATTGAAGATATTAGGCTTATTTCCATTTTTCTATACATTTTGCACCCAAATTAATCATTCTATAAGGAAATTTATTTTTTAATTTTTTCGTGTATGGGCAGTTATGCATGAATATCCATATCCACATTTTAAGGGTTAAACAAACCTTAACCTATGAAAATAAGTTAGATTTTTTATAAATACAGTGTACTAATACTGAGAAAAGTATTATCAATGACATTCTGGTTGCATCTATAGATTTTTAGATACTGCTGCTTGATATCAGAGTTTAACCAAAAATCCCTTCAGTGTCAAAGCATTTCTTTGCACTATGTATAGTTTGCAACAAAAAAAATAATAGTAATAATAATAATTTGTAGATGACTGCACAAATAGATGTCATTAGGGGGGCCTTGACAGAATGAGCCAGCCATAAGTATTATGCCAAATTGGTCCCCTTAATAAACACCAAATGGAAGTTAATAAGGTGAAAAAATACAACTAGATGCCAAAACTAAATACACCTTGCTATGCCACCCACCTGGCAGGGGACCGTCTAATTACCGAAAGCTACCCAAAGCTTCCTGGCATTACATTAATAATGAATAAATATGATATATTTACTGATTATAATGTTGGTGCTGAATGTAGAACATGGAAAAAACATTTTTACTCTGAAAAAGTATTATTTCATAACGAAATTAGACGAAAATAAGCTGCTGGTGATGCCAAAGCAAGTCGACGGTCCAAGCGACAATATTGCGGAGCGACTTATCCAAGATACACTGTTGCCTAAAGAGTATTTGCTGGCATATCAGCCTCTTGTACTTACCTAACCTAACCAACCTACCCAAACATAACCTAACAAAACCTAACCTAACTAAACCTTACCTAACCTAACTAAACGTAACCCATCGAAACTTAAGTTAATATAACCTGTTGACCAAATCACACATTAGAAAGTGAATGGACGACGACGTTTCGGTCCGTCCTGGACCATTCTCAAGTCCATTGTGACTCGTCTAATATAACCTGTAAGCACCAATATATCTTGGATAAGTTGCGCATACAAGACACTCCGTACATTGACAACATCGCACACTAATATTTTTACCACTTCGGACACCAGCTTTCGATGTTTCGCATATGTGTACGTGTTGCACATTAAAACGACAATATAATGTTATTAACAATTAAAATCTTCTATTTAACAGGCATATAGTTATTAAATGAAGTTATTAAATTTAGTGATGTAATAGACATAATCCGGAGTTGGTAAGGACGCCGCCCGCCAGCGTAAACACAACACACCCGAATACCCACAAACACGATACAACGCACAAAACACAACACTTCTGTCAGTTTTTAGATAAACTCCTTTTATATTTATTATGTGAGAGTTATACTTGTATAAAATGATAACTATTATAGGTAGGCGCCTAATATTTAATATTAATCAATAAAAAAGAAGTCAGAAGCCACACGCCTGTCTGTACATGTCTTTTGTGTAAAAGTATTTTGGGCGCTCATGTACTTGTGCGCTAGCTGGCGTTCACAACTGTTCTCGCCTACAAGCATTAGAATTAAACAAACGATTTTTTTTTTCATTTATATACAAGAAGAGAAGGCTACCCTTGAGTCTGTAATATTCATCTGATCACTGGTCTCCCATTTGGTCCTCATTGCTTTATCTTACTATTATTGAATGTCAATAACCGTATTATGCAGTTTCAATTTCTTCTATTTTTCTTTATTATGCACCCCATACCCATCCCGTGGGCCGTGGTGTAAAGGATTACAGAGGCACATAATCGGTTCAGGAACTGAACCCTCTAGTTCGTTTAGCTAAGCAAATAACAATGTTTGACGCTAGTTACAAAATTATTAATGTTGTATACACATGTACACACACACTCATACATACATATATATATATATATATATATATATATATATATATATATATATATATATATATATATATATATATATATATATATATATATATATATATATATATATATATATAATTATATAATAAGTATGTATGTAAGGAGGAGAGAGAGAGAGAGGAGAGAGAGAGAGAGAAGGAGAGAGAGAGAGAGAGAAAGAGATGAAGATCGAGACAGAGAAATAGATATAGACAGAGTCAGGGAGAGAATGTTAGACACAGAGACGTATAGATAAGGATATGCAAAGTCAGTGAGAGAATGACAGAGACAGAGCGAGGAAAGAGACAGAAAGATAGGCTGACACAGAGAATGTCAGAAACGAGGAGAGGCAGAGACAGAGGGACAGGGACAGACGGACAGGGCCAGAGGAGGGACGGGGGAACAGAGGGGGAGCAGTGGGACAGGGAGGGAGACAGGTACAGAGAGGGGGACATGGACAGAGACAGAGGGACAGGAACACAGGGACAGAGACAGAGGGACAGGGTCAGAGAGGGGGACCGGGGGACAGAGGGAGGAGAGGGGGGCAGGAGACCAAGAGAGAGGGGACAGAGGAGAGACAGGGGATAGAAAGAGTGGGCAGGGGGACAGAGGGAGGGACAGGGACAGACAGAGAAGGACAGGAACAGAGGGACAGGGGGACAGAAAGGGTGACAGAGAGAGGGACAGGGGGCAGAGATAGGGACAGGGGAAGAGAGACAGGGACAAGGGGACAGAGATGGATTGGGGGACTGGAGGAAAGGGAGGGGGACAGATGATGGACAGCGGACAGAAAGAGTGGGCAGGGGGACAGAGAGGTACAGGGGACAGAGAGATGGACAGGGGGACATAGAGGAACAGGGGGACAGAGAGTGACAGGGGGACAGAGAGAGGAACAGGAGGACAGAGAAGAACAGGGGGACAGAGAGAGAGACAGGGGGGACAGAGAGAGGATTTATAGGTTGTGTGGGGTCTGTGTTCTCTTATTCCACATTCCATAACATGGCATTTATTCACATTAAATTCCATTTCCAAGTGGTGTACCACTTCCTCCGCGAGGATATTAGAAACTGCAAGGCTAGCCAAGACCAACTACAGCATGATTTGAATGATCTCCGTGAGGAAAACAACCTTCTGAAAACTGATGAAGCCATAAAAAAACAGGAGGAAGCTCTCAGCAAAATGACTGCATGTATCAGTACATTTTCAGCCCAACGTTCCGTCTCCCAGGATGAACAAGACCAGCAAAAGCTGTTAGACTCTGTTATCGTGTCGTCCCAAGATATACCTGTGGAACATGAAGGTGAAAATTGTGTCGAAATAGCTCAGGATCTCTTAAAAAACAAATTGCAGCTCATTCTAAACAAAACTGACGTTATTGCTGCCTACAGAGTAGGCAAAAAGAATCCATCATGTCAAAACCAGCGGAAAATTCGCCTGAAGCTGTCTTCCCAGTTCACGAAATCCCATCTAGTCCGGACAGCTGCATTCCAACGGAATGGATTATACATCAACGAGCGGTCCATAGAATTACCCAAATCGACCCAAATCAGGCCAAAACTACCCAAATCGTCCTAGCATTACGTAAGTAATGAAGAAATATGGCATATTTACTTACTATAATGTTGGTGCTACACATAGAACATGATCAAACCTATTTTTACTCTGAAATAATCTAATTTCATAACGAAATTAGACGTAAATATGTGAGAGGTGACGCCATAGGAAGTCGACGGTCCAAGCGACAATTGTGTGGAGCGACTTATCCAAGAAATATGGTCGCCAGGAGAGTGTTTGCTGCCATATCAGCCTCCTGTACACAGTGATCCAGTCCTTTTCGTTCATTGAACACCGAACCCTACACGCCCTCTGATATATTGCTTAATTAACAAATATTCACAAATAAAGATTATATTTGTATATGTTATCAGAAAGGCAGATATAAAATAGTTTTTTTGAATCCATCACAGAGATTATACCTTATTAGAGAGGAAAAATATTCATACTTTAAACAAGGCTTCATGGCCGACGCTCTCCTTACCGATATGGGAACTATGACCTTCCGAAGATCAATGTTAATTTAATCTAGATATTGTAATAAACGAAGTTTTCTATGTCATCATAAAGACATAAATATAAGCTGCATGTTAATACTTTGGCATAAATATAACTGAATTGAAAGTTAAGATATATGCCTTTTTATAGTTACTTGATGGCTCGCTCAGGGAGTGTGAAGGCCTCCACACAAGCCAATCAATTTTATAATTACTTTGCATATATGCAAAGTAACGCCATAGGTCTTTATGTCAGAATAAAGCCATGTAGACGATAATGTAACTACATTTCAAGGAAAACATATCTTAATATAATTATTAAATGAATGCAAAGTTATGGTTAAATAAATAGCCAATACCACACAATCGCCGGTGTCCGGACACATGAATAGTCGCATTAGGTGAAAGGAAATGTACCCAACCATTTCCATTTACCCAACCAGTTTGTGCACCCTATACTCATCCTCTGTGCGGTAATTTATTGTGCACCCCATACTCATCTTGTTACCAGTAGTTTGTGCAACCCATACTCATCCTGTGACCCGTAATTTATTGTGCATCCCATACTCATCCTGTTACCGGTAGTTTGTGCAGCCCATACCCATCCTGTGACCTGTAATTTATTGTGCAACCCATACTTATCCTGTGACCTGTAGTTTATTGTGCAGCTAATACTCATTCTGTGAGTCATAGGACATTGCGCAACCCTTTCTCATCGTGTGAATCTTTGTTTACTTTGCTCTCCATATTCATCCTCTGCGCGATAGTTTCTTGTGCAACCCATACCCATGATGTGAGTGGTAGTTTATTGTGTACCCTATATTCATCCTGTGAGTAGGGGACTGGTCAAGTCGTATACTGCAATTTCGGATACCGGGCTAGAAACAACTTCGTTCACTGAGAAGTTTGTACATACAAACCATTCCGTTCGTATATGCGCTGCTTTGTGTTCGCTGTTGTTCTCGTCTGAATAAATACATGGAACTTGTTCATATAATTAGCGCTTCCATTATTAGAATTATTTATCCATTATTAGAATAACAAGGTGCAAACCATACCCTCTTACAGTTGAAATCTATTTATTTACATACAAGAAGGTACATTGGGTTGCGAGAGTATATAGCATATATTAAGAGGTACATTGTAGCAAGATTTGAGATTAAAGGATTTAAGACTAACACGTTTAGAAACAAGGCGCCCCCGAAGGAGGCTGTTATTTGTTATGCACCCCATACTCAACCAGTAAGTAGTGGAGCAAAACATAGATTACATGGTCTTAATCAGACCAATTCAATTCAATTTCTTTCTTTATTATGCACCCCATACCCATCCCGTGGGCGGTGGTGTAAAGGATTACAGAGGCACATAATCGGTTCAGGAACTGAACCCTCTAGTTCGTTTAGCTAAGCAAATAACAATTTGTGACGCTAGTTACAAAATTATTAATATTATATATACATGTACACACTCTCATACATGTACATATATATATACGTATACATATATACATACACATACATATCTAATCACCTACACAAATACACACATCAATAATCTTTGTGTCACAAGTGATCAACAAGAGGCTCACAACAGTCACTATACAAGGCACTTTACATCTATGGTAAGTCACACAGTTACTAGTCTTGCTGCACACCCACCCAACTGGGCGGCAGCTTTACAGTCATGTGCATGCATTACCT